CTAGCACTGAGCCAGGGCAGTTAAAGTGGACTCAAGCTGCATTATTTAAGGCAGTCTGTAAAGGACTTAAGTCAAAAACCCTTTCTACATTTGCATTGTGTCCTGAAGCAGCCCATTGCCTAACACGTTTGCTGTGTCCTTTTCCCCTCCAAGAAACAAATGCATTCTGAGCTCTGGGGGCAAGAACTTTAGAAGAATCCATCCTTTCCCTCTATTTGCAGTGAGGACAGGCTTCTAAATGGACATATTTCTTGACGAGGAACAGCAAACAAGGTGTTACTCAATGGACTTCTTAGTTATGCACAAAATAGAGAATATTTTGGAATTCCTCCTGGACAGAAAGTTGAAATGTAGGACATGTCCTGGAAAAGGAGTATTTCTGGTCATCCTGGGTAAAGGTGACCAAACAATGTGGACTGCCTCTTGCCCCTACAGCATTCTGTAAGGGGGATGAAAATACTGATCTCATTTCTCTGCCTCTTTGTCTCTAGCAGACTGCAGTGGTAGCTCTTTCCCATTTATTTATTTATTTATTTTGCAAAGGGAGGGTGGAAGGGAATCTTGGAAGGATTCCATTGCAGAAGCTAAACAGTTAGTCTTAGAGGTGCTACAAGCTCTCTATATATACTGATTCTACAGACTAACCCAGTTAAATCTTTGAATTCTACAAATATTAAATGGTAGTATTGCTGTTGCAGCTCATACTACACTACTAGAGCACTTGTATGACATTTCTACTGCCATGGCTCCATACAACAGCATTCTGAGATTTGTAGTTTGGTGAGATACATAGGCATCCCATGGAACTAAAAATCCTAGGATTCCATGGGATGGAGCCATCACGGTTAAAAGTGGTGACAAGACACTGCAACTGTTTAGTGCAAAAGACACTGAGAATTTGCTCTAACACTGCTATTCCAGTTATGCAATGAACTGGTTGTGCCCATTAAGGACTGAGCCAGGGATTTCCCGCATGGAAACATGGTATTATTAACAGAGTACATGACTACCAAGCATCCTGCTCTGCTCCAAGCCTATTAGTAAACTCCACCTGCCATTCCCTCCCTTCCATCAATACATGCAAGACAATATCAGATATCTTTTACATCAGTCTAGTGTTGTTGTGGTGTGCCTCCAAGTCATTTTTGACTTATGGTGACCCTAAAGTGAAACTATCATAGGGGTTTCTTGGCAAGTTTCTTCAGAGGGGGGTTAACATTACAATCCACTGAGGCTGAGAGAGTGTGACTTCCGCAAGGTCACCCAGTGGGTTTTTATGCTTGAGCAAGGAATTGAACCCTGATCTCCAGAGTCGTAGTCCATCACTCAAACCATTACATTATGCTGGCCCTCCAAATCAGCCCTGATCACTCCATGTATCAAAAACTACTAATGCCTTATGAGTGAATTGTTCATCTTCAGTGATAAATATGTCTGCTATGAACACAAAGCATCCATCCACGGGTGAGACTTCCTGTGGTGTCTCTGCTTGGTTTGATCCTCTATCTTTGCCTCCTTCTACCCAGCCTTTCCTGGTGGCCAGCAGGCTTAAGGAGTGATGAAACAACAGAAATGCTTAGTTACCAGTTTTTCTATGACTGAGGCAAGGTGCTTGTTGGAGTTTACACCTTGTATGCCCAAATAATTTGCCTGACTTTGGGTATGATGTACGTTGACCATAAGGGATGTATGTATGCATGTGTATGTACACACACACATGTGTGTGTGCAGTTTGTTGCTCTGGTTCAGGCTGGGAGACAGCTCCTGCACAGCTATGCATCAAGGGCAATCAGCGCATCCATTCACTTCCAGTGAAACAAGTGCAGCAGAATTGGCCATCCTCAGAGGAATGCCTGTTGTTTTTTGCATGAGTCATTGTGCTGTCATTGCCTTCTTCCATTCAGGGGAAATGTCTAAGACAGCGCCTTTCTCCATTTGGAGAACAGTTAGAGAAAGGCATATTTGCATGCAAAATCACACAATCATATAACTGGAGTGTTCTTTGAAGGTCACCCTCTCCAATGAAGGGTCTGTGATGCAACAGATGTGGGGAAGGTGTGTAGCTTTCCAGATGTTGTCAGGCTGAAACTCCCACCATTCCTCCTCACTATTGCTTATGCTGGTAGGGCTGCTGGGAGTTGCAGTCCAACAACATTTGGAGGGCTGCATGATTCTCATCCCCAAACTACAGCATCCTTGCAGATGGCTGTCCCAACTCTGGCTGTTCCATTCAGTGAAGGAGAAGTTCTATTCCAGCAGCAAAAATGAGACCAGACACAGACTGACCATGAACTACTAATATATATATATATAAGAATAAAGCTGAAGAAGAACACAGAATAAATAATCATGCTGAAATATGCTCTGAACAACATCCCACAGAAATCAAAGGAAAATGAAAAATAGATTTGCACTATTAAGCTTAAGATACAGGGAACCAGAATTACTATGGACAGAGACCAGGAACATAATCAAAGAGGAATGCTGAAAGACACTAATTGTGGCCAAAAAGAGAGAGAAGAAACAATGGATGATATATAAAACACTACAAGCTATAAAGGAAAGGAAAGAAATACAAGAAAAGGGAGACAAGAACTGAACATGGACCTTGAACGCAACTGCGCACTTTGCAATTAGTGCGCAAGGATAAAGAAAATTAATGTAATAATCAATAGAGAGAAATAGAAGTTGACAACAAAACAGGAAAGATAAGAGACCCATTCCACAAGATCTGGGAAATTAAAGGGAAATTTAAACCAAGAATGGAGATGCTCTTCAGTCAACACAAGAATATAATACGCACCCAAGATGAAATAAAAAGGCACTGGAGGCAATTCACAGAAAACCTATCTAAAAGAGAAGAAGGAATGAATGACACATGGGAAGAAGAAACTTACAAAGATGAACCCCAG